CTGGGAGGCCGGCTTCCACTCCAGTCAGCTTTGAGCCGGCCAAACAACATGGAACTGGCTTCCCAGTCAATCAGGAAGCAAGGGCTAGTACTAGTATCGGTACACTCCTAATATATACATACACACATACATACATATATATTTAGGGATGTCCCGATACCGATGCTAGCATCGGAATCGGGCCCGATACAAGGCATTTTGACAAGTACTTGTACTTGTCAAAATGCCCCGATGCCTAGCGCCGAAGCTTGCGCTGTGTTTTTTTTTTTTATTATGCGATTTTGAAGATCCATTCTTTGATGGAGAGCAGAAGGCTGGACTTCCAGTGCCATGGGATCACGGCTCAGGTAGCTAGGAGGAGGAAACTTAGCTGTTCTTTATGAGTCTATTTTTTATTCAGCACCATCACATAAAATAATTATTGAAAAATATTTATGTGTACCATATATTGCATGATATAATGAAATGAGAATACATTCTGCCATTCAATGACTGCAACTGAGCAGGTTTACATAAATCCTAATATTTGTCTTTTAGTTGTTGAAGGTGTTTGCTGAAGAGATTGCAAAACATGGGATTAATAAAGCAAGCATCTGCAAGTTAATCCCTGTTTGCTACGTTTGTCTATCCTCTTATACATCTTCAAAGCTCTGAAAGACATGGTTTACCTCCTAACCAAAGGCTCTTGATATTGAAGTCTAGTGTGGAAGAAGACAACTGTGCTTTTAAAGCAGTGAACATTCTTGGGGCTCAAACACATTTAGGGCATTTGTTATAATTTGCTCTTAGCAGTTTGCAGTGATTTCTGCTCACTGATAACATTTGCATGTTTTTACCTTATTTATTTATTTTTAGTTGCATTTAGCAAAGGAAAATTATTATTATTAAATTATAATGGGGTAATTTTTATCTTTACTTTAAAGTCTGTTATTTATCTAACTGTTATGTTTATATTTTGTAATTTATACTGTATCTATTACAATTATATACTGGACGTGTGTAATGTATATGTAGTACATATATACAGCACACACCTCCACTACACTCCAGCAATAGAGTTACAATTCTCCGCTGATAACATGATTAGGTTAAATCATGATCCATAGTACAGAACATGTAGTTGTACTATGGACCATTTAAAGTCACCTGTCCCTTTAAGAAAAAGTATCGGTAATTGGTATCGGCAAGTACTTGTACTTGGGCCTGAAAAAGTGGCATTGGGACATCCCTAATATATATGCACACATATACACTTTTCTTTACATTAAAACATTTGATTTCTAAATTCATAAATGTATATTGTACCTGTCTGCTCCATACACCCAGGCTACAGCCACATTTTCAAATATAACCACGATGATGAGGGGTAAAGTGGCTGAATAGTCATCAAACATACTGACAAAGTAGGATCCTGATCGCTGAACAAAGAGCAAGCCAATTAGCAGGCCAACTATACAGCATACAACTGAAAAGATCAAGAAACAAAACAAGAAAAAAGGTTAATTGTTCAGTTTCTTCTTAGTATTTAATAAGACATTAATATTTTCCCACTTCATAGAGCGAAATGGCCATATATATTTATTAACACAACATTGTATCAAAAATGATACAGATAGAAAATGAAAGTATAGCTAACTTTTATGCAAAATTAAACTTAAAAAAAATGCATTTATCACTTTTGGATTATTCAAAATATCGTTTTTCTGACCTGGGGAGACATGTTCCGGACAATCAAAAAATACTCATACATGCTAAATTCAGACAGCCTCTCTGGAGTAGTATAGAAAGACGCAATCTGGTGTGGAAGCTTTAATATAAACTCAACTTTTGTTACAAAAAATGATATAACATCTAATTGCTACACAAGCCATATTGTAATTAAATGTCAGCAGAAAGCATGAAGTCAAATGACAGGAATCCTCTCCCTATCTGCTATCTACTGTATGACGATAGTACTGATACCTAGATACAAATTATGATGCTAAGCTCCCATAGTAAATCCCACCCACTGTCTCCCTGTCTCATTGGAAAGGATACAGGGCAGAAAGTGGGAAAGCACAAAATGTTTGCTGGCTATTTTTTGTAGTGCGGGACTTTGAATTTTAAATGTGCAAAATGGCTGACAGATTCACTTTAACCCTTTTGCTGCCAAGGACGTACAGCATACGGAGGTACAAAAGTGCTTCTCGCTGGCCAGCTCAGTATGCCTTACGGACCTGGCATTTACAATTCTACTATAAGCTCATGAGCTAGCCGCAATTCAGGATGGCCGAGCGGTGTTCCGATCGGAGCCGCTGTCATCCTGTCAGTTTTTTTATGACAGCGGCTCTGTAGCGTGGCCGAGCGGGGGATCGTTAAATATCATTGATATTTAACGATCCCTCTGTTTACAGCAAACACCGGAGCGATCGTCTGATCACTCCAGTGTTTGTAAATAACTGGGGACACATAGTACTATGTGTCCCCAGTTATGAATGAACAGGCTGTGGTTTACATCACAGCCTGTTCATTGAAGAATTTATGAATGGGGACTAGCACTCACTACAGAAGCTCCTCCCCATTCAGAAACTAATGATAGTAAGATATTTTTACTATCATTAGTTTGTGAATGAATGAGAAGCCTCTGTACTGAGTGCTTCTCATTCATTGAGTGCTGGGGCTGCAGAAAAAGAAATTGAGGACTCTATGTCCTTAATTTCTTTTTCTATTTCAAAAGGGAAATGTCAGGGGTCTATTTAGACCCCAGATATTT